GGGGCAGACAATGCACAACAGGCCACGCTAAATGACAGGTATTGTGAAACCATGCCTCCGCCGCTCAGCTTCTCCACAAACATGTCTACATGTAATTGAAACACTAATCAGTTCATAATTACAAGAGACGTCTCCTTACATCAAACAAAGTCAATGCAATAGCCAGTGGGGTGGCGGCAGAGAAGAGAGGAGAAAACACGGGAGATGAGGCGTGATGGAGAAGTTATGGCCCATGAAGAAGTAGAGGGGAGGTGGTGACATTTTGACTAATACGCTACTTTCTCTCGATGTGGCTCAACTACACCAGAAAATATGGACTTCTTTCTCTGGCACAGATGATTTCACAACACTACCAGCTTCTAAATTATTAAAGCCAACATGCTTTTGGACATTTTACACCCAGTTCTTGCTGCGTTGCAATTGCTGACATCCAGTTCACTCAGTGAACTCCGATTCGACCTCTGAAAAACAAGGTGAGCAGCTAAAATCGGTGATTAATTGCTTCTTTTCCTAATGTTTGAAAGCTGCTTCACAAGGACACGTAGCTGACTGCTTTTAGTGTAAAATGAAAGGCACAAAGCTGTTGTGAGGTAGGAGAATGGATGAATGAAAGGACGTTTTAAAGCCACCATTACGCCCAGCATACAGGTGCATTTTTCTCCAATCACAGTGTAAGTAATATGGTTAAGTGCCTTGGCGCCTGACTTTCACCGCTTTCCCATTCTCTGAATCCATCTATTACTGCAGCTGTTGCACTTAATCAGACAATCGGAGAAACATTTTTTATTTGTTTCGCTCTGGAAGAACAGGAATTTATTTAAAAGAACGCCATTGTTGCTGATTTCATCACAGCAGCAGCACTTCCTCCAAGTCAAAGCTGCTTTTAATGCCGCGCCGACCAAAGGAGACATTTTCTGTGTGACGCCAGCCCTGAAGCATCTTCCAATACGTCATGAAGATGGATATGTTGTTCTATATCATCGATTATTTTTGTGAATGTCCTCGGGCTGTTCCGGTGCCGAGTTGGACCAGCAGGAGGCGATAAAGCTGCTGGTTTCTTTTTTCAGTCCCCCCCCCCCCCCCCCCCACCCCCCACCCCCACCCTACTTCCAGCTCCTCCAGATCTCTCCTCTAATCCTCGACTCCCTCTCCTCTGCCCCCTGACGGTAAAGGCCAACTGAGCTCTGGAGAATATTTATGAGCAGGGGAGAGCAATTGGTTTGAAATCATTCGACAAGGGAGCGAGGGATGGAGGGAGGGGGAGGGAGAGGGGAAGAGGGGGAGGGTCAAAGAGAGAAAATGTAAAACAGACACGGAGAGAAAGGTAGAGAAAAAATGACTACTTTAATGACCACGCGGCTGATTAATGCCCATTTCTGTTTATCTGTGTCTGAAATCATCTTTGAAAACCAAATCTGTGACAAACCGTCTGATTGGATCCATTTTTGGTTCTTCCTGGTCCCACGATTGGGTTTAGAGTTTGTATTTCTGGTGATGTTTTATTAGACATTAACAGAGTTCAACTGTCTCAGTAAATGACAGGAAGCGTCTGCAAATGCAGAAACCTGCTGCCAACCATTCCAACTGACTAAATGAATCACCTCAGCTAAATGCCCATTCCTGTTACCGAGACAATGCGTAGTTTTTACCATCAGTCACTGGAAATATCCGTCGAAATGTTGTTGAAATTTTTTTTAAATGATGCTCAGTTGTTGAAAAATAGTGGTGGCTTTGTAACATATAACCACAAAATACACGGGAACGTAGGGCCGCTCGATTATGGCAAAAATAATAATCACGATTATTGTGACTGAAATTGAGATCTCGATTATTTAAGACGATTTTTCAATTAATGTTGATTTTATTTGTTTTTATTCTGTCATAAAATTGCTCAGGGCACAATCAGGACAAAAATAAATAAGAAACAAGATGATCACTAAAATAACTCCTGATTCCCAGTTTAAAAAGACCAATATACTTATAGCTCATAGTCTATGACCCAAGGGCTATAGACCTTGGTTTAACTCATTTAAGTCTAACCAGTACAGACCTAAATACCAATATCTTACAAATACTGACAGCAAGAATTATACAGTGGCATTCATAACAAATAAATGGAAATTGATGTTCACAAAATGTTGCATAGTATGTATTTAGTCGTGTCAAGGTGCTGTAGGAGAGTGCACTAGCACCGTGTCCTCAGAGAGATTAGTTATTATTTATCAGCGTGAGGAACTTAATTCTACCTTATTTATAAACTATTTATTTACAAGTCCATCAGTTAATGTAATAATTGTCCCAACCACAGATGCACCCCCCACCCCCCAACCCAGTCTCACAGCAATCAGTGGCAAGCTGCACGTGTGTTTAGCTCGCCGCACGCGCGCATTTAGCCGTTTTTAGCGGCTCAGGAGTCCGCAGGTACGGTGTGTGTGTCACTCATTCTGGTTAATCCAACATGGAGCCGGCTCTGAGAGCCGTTTCTTTAGCGACTGACGCATCACTAAATCATTCCCTTTCCTAATGTCCTGAAGAACGGTCCGGAGCACAGGCGGAGTGTTTAGCTAACCTGCAGGAAATGTCGACGACGGTTATCCAGAAAGTAGCTAAGGGTTACCAGAGATGTTTCTGAGGTGTTCGCTAGGTACTTTTAAGATTTAAAAAGTCAAGAAGGGGGTCTGAAAAGCTGCTAGAAATAGCATCAAAGTCGCTAAGTTGGCAACACTGTGAGGAGCGCTTCATTTGCAACTCAGGGCAGCGCAAGTGGGAGGAGCAAATAATCGGCTTGTTTTGTTTTCATAATCGTTCAAAACTCAGATCGTAATCGTGATTAAAATTCGATTAATTGAGCAGCCCTATGCGAACGGGTCCAAGTCTCTGGGCGACGCCATATTAGTCACCATGTTTTCTACGGGAGCCCGTGAGGACAAAATGCATTTACTGATTTGTAACAATCCCATTCATAAATGTTATTTTGCACGATTACCGCTTCGCTCGTTGCAGTGATGAAAGGGAGCTGATGTACTTTTGCTGGAGGTTGTGCTTCCAGGGATTTTTGGCCCTAATGGACATCCGTAGGTAAGGTCTGACTCCAACACAAAAATACAGCTTGCTTGCAGTGATTTAGGTAGTACTGCCCCCCGTCGCGTGGGAAAATACACACCGTCACTATAAAAGTCACAAGTTTCTTTTGGATGCACTAAAGTGGACTCGTTAGATGCCGCTCATGATTTTCCAGCACGTTTACATTTAAAGCTCATTTAAAAACAAAGTGGAACCACTTTCCTACTTTGGTGGGGTTTTTTCACCTTTCGGTTTCTCTTGCTTTGCTACCGTTTCCTACTAATCCTCCGGTAAGAACGGGAAAGACCAACATAGCCTGAACGGTGCCGAGTTTTAGACTTAAGATTACATTTCCAGATCTGTTCATAAAGGTCAATGAGAGCCACAGTAGAATCCTCTAGAAGCCTTTTATTTTATTTTATTTATGGAAATCTGCTAATCCTGTGCATGCATGAGTTTAATGCATGCTAATGTCTGTTAGATTTGGGCGTCCTATAGATGAGCAGCAAAATATAAAGGAGGAAAGGGGTGGGAGGGTGCCAGCAGAGATGGAGGAAAGGAGGAAATGATGGATGTAGGGAAGCAAACAGAGCTACACTCTCTATCTGTGCCTGGCATTGTCACCCCTGTCAGCAGTTAAATGCCAGTGTCAGTCAGCCCTCGGCTCAGCTGGCAACAGCCCCCTGCGTCTCGATGGCCGACGCCGGCGTCAATCTCGTCACGGACTACCAAAACACTTACCTTGCACACACAAACACAGACACTCAGTCATGCAAAAACACTTTGTCCAGAATCTGCTAAAAAAAAAAAAAAAAGCTTGTCAGCTAAAGCCAGCATGTCAGCTTCCATATAATCAGAGCCCCGGCGTTCGGTGCTGCTGGGTAATCCTAATGAAACCGCCTCCTCCAACACGAAGGGTTTATTCAGCCTGGACCGGACCGAGGAACCTGGATGTGGATAATAATCCACTTTATATGGCAATTCATAACTAAACAGGCGTATCCATCCATCACACACACACACACACACACACATACACACACACACACACACACACACACACACACACACACACACACACACACACACACAGTAGACTCTGCCCTTTCCACACACAGATACAAAGTTAGGTCACACAGATATTATGCTGACCACCACTCTAAAAGGATTTCATCAGAGTGAAGTTCAAAAGCTCCTAAAGCCATTTAAATAAAAGCAACTGTCATTAGGTAAGTTCACAATTATGAACTAAATCCATTTTTATGGAGATATTTTATGTTAAATTACTTCCCCAGGAGGACTAAATGTTTTCTAACATTCCTGTAAAAACCTGCCTGAAAACTGCAGGTTATTTAGGAACGTTTGTGCTTGTTGATGCCATCATATAAAGCTTTCAGACAACACCCTGCTGGCTCTGAACACCACACACACACACACACACACACACACACACACACACACACACACTCGTGAATCCACTCCTTCTTCCCACTGTCACACATCAACAGGCTCGGGCAGACATCTGCAACGTCCCACTGCTCTGCTGAAACCCTCCCGTGGAAACTCTGCTTTGACTTTCCACTCATACGCACCATTTAGAGTTTGGATCACACACCAGCCATATGTTTCTGCTCTACTCACAAAAGGAGGCGTTTGCACCAAAGGAAGCTTGGATTTGAGCAGAATGCACGTAAAGCCTTCGTTTGAATGCAAAACTCCACTGAGTAATCTGCTCAGTGCTTCATCCCACTGCCGCCTCCTACTAAATCTGCATCTTTTTGTAAAGTAGCGTTATCGCTGGCCTATGCGTGCTTTCTAACTTCTTTTTTCCTGTTAAATGGAAGCTTCACCCTCAGTAAATTTGCTTCTCTGCGTTTGTTCCTGTTTAGATTTGTAACCAGCTCCAAACGTGCAGCTGTCCACCGCCGTTTCCTCACCTGTAGATCTTGTACTTGGTGGTGAATCCTTGCTGGTAGCGCTCTGTGAAATCCACAAACTCCTGCGAGCCGTGGAAAGGGCCCTTTTCTGACAGGAGCCAGCCCAGGGGCCCGTTAGAGCCGCTGAAGCCGGCTCCGGCTGAGTCCGCAGCGGCACTGGTCCCTGCTGACAACCAGAACTGGAGCAGGCTTAGTGTCAACCACTTCCATGGAAACATGAGGCCTGTCAGTCTAACGAAGGTGCACAGGCCACTCATGCTGCTTCCCCCGGCCCCGGTGACTCCTCATTCTCCCTGCACCCCCAGTGAGTCCAGCTGGAACAGGAGGAAGATCACATCAGAGGCAGACTGAGTTCGGCTGAAGAGATCTTAATGTGTCCAGGTGTTGGACACATGCCAGGGACATTTTCTCTCTCTCACACACACACACACACACACACACACACACACATGTATATATATATATACATATATATACACACACATACACATATACACACATATACATATATATATATATATATATATATATATATATACATATACATATATATATATATATATATATATATATATATATATACATATATACATATATATATATATACATATATACACAATTTGACTTTAAACCTCAGCATATATAAGAATATATTTATTTTATAACTGGTTCTACTTTAGTTTTCTACCTTAGTGTCCAGGTCTGTTGGTCCGTCGCTGGTCGGAATGGATCTCCGTTAAATCCCCTCATAGGACCCAGAAGTTGGCTGAGACCGCGCGCCGGAGGGCATCAGAACGACACTTTGTCGCCGGGGTTACAACCAGGAGCCAGACCTAGCGCGAGTTAAACTGAACAGAAAGAAACGCGAAACACCACCAGACCTCCACGGAATGGACCAAGCTCCTGATTTCAGTTTTATTTCCAGCGGAGAACCTCCGACGCCGCGACCGTAGATCCACGCGCCGCAGCGGGCGCGACGTCTCCGGAGGTCGGAGCCAGACAGGTGGACTGGTCACGGCAGAGATCTGTTAGAAATTCGGTGAAAGAACGAAGTCGGGCGAGCTGCTGTCCTGTCACTCATCCCAAGCTTGATTGGAGAGTCGCGCTCGGTGCGCACGCAGAAGCGCACGGAGACCTGCTGCAGCTCCTGGCGGTGGCTCGGCTCCCAGCGCGCGGAATGTGTGAATGGCGTTCGGGATGCGCTCTCTCTCCCTCCCGTGCCACATACCGCCGCAATTTAATTTATTCCAGCAGCGAGAAAACTCCCGGTTGGCTGGGACGTATAGCCGGAGGAAGTGAGAGGAGGAGTGTAGAGGTGGGGGTGGCAGGCGTGGTGAGATGATGTGTGGGGTGCCTCGTTTCAGAGAGCCGGTGGAGGGCATGCAGTTAATATTGGGTTACTAATTAAGGACAGACAAAAGGTTTGGATTCGGGCATAAAACTAAGAAAATGTGCAAAAAGGTTTGTGGATTTAATGAAAGTTGCGATGAAAGAGCAAGACATTGTTTAAGAAAATAGATTTTCTGATGATGAAAAAAAAATCTAAATGTTCTAATGTCAGTTTGAATTAGTTGAATAATGACGTAATAAGAATATTAATGATGATGATCCTCATAAGGAGGAAGAGGAGTGGGAGGCTGACCAGAGGGTGCATTCAGCTCCCCAAGAGTTATTCTCCATATCTCCATTGCAACACACACACACACACACACACACACACACACACACACACACACACACACACACACACACACACACACACACACACACACACACACACACACACACACACACACACACACACACACACACACACACACACACACACAATAATCAGCAAACTTAATTAGATCCGCTCCATCCACGCGCCCGTGCGCCGGACACAGCGCGCGGATCAGAGGCAGCACGCAGCCGAACGCAGGGATGGATGTGTGCTGCCTTTCAGCTTTTTTTTTTTTTTTTTTTTTGCAGACGTTTCAAAGGGAGGTTTTATTCAGGGATTGGATTAGAGAAATGAACTCCATTGAGTCTGGAAATTCTCTAGTTTCCAAACGCAATGAGAAGCTGAATCCCGTGGCACAGCGACTCGCAGAATCTGAGGAGAAAGAATGAGTTGATTTGTCACAGTTTCATCATCGTGTCTGGGGATTGGGTGTCTTTTTCCTCTGACCCTGCCTCGCAGCCACGAGGACTTGTGAAGGACAACTAGCTGATAGGAAGCGACTGTGGTGTTGTTTCTGGTGACAGGGCTTACTTTGTTCTGTTTTTCCACTTGAACTGTTGTTTGGCCATTTTTAGTTCTAGTTTGGCTGCAAGCCTAAACTTTTTTTTGTATTGAATAAAATATGATAAAACGGAGCGTTATGCCTAATTACTTCTGAGGCTTTGCGTCATTTTAGGCTTTATTTCACACAGTCCCTAAACTCATGCAAGCATAAGTCCCAATAGCTCACATTTACCATTTCAAATAAACCAGTCATCCACTTAAATGTCCTTGGCTGCAGAAGTCAGATATGTTTACTGGTGTAGGACACTGCGGTGTGCACTGGAGCAGCTACACGTGTTTATTCCTTTTTGAGTGAGCGAGGAAGGCGAGAGCATTGATTGCAATTGACGGAACATGAGGTTGTTGGTCTGGACTGTGTGGATGTAAACCGAGTGCAAAGAGGGGAAAAGATCAAAGGCAACGTCACAGGAAAGTGCTCATTTGGGCTGCAGGAAGGCGTGTGAAATGTGCAGGTCACGGCAGCAGATAGTGAACTGGAACAAGGAGGCATCTTTTTGCTCTGTGAGAAGAAACCAAAGATTTGAAAAGTGGACACTGAGCAACTGTTTACAGCCAGACACCTGATCTGCCGGCTGGACTTGTGACGTTTGGATAAATGAGAAGAATTGTGACTTCGGCTTTGCAGAAGTCTGCTGCACATTTTAGCATCTTGGTTCTCTGAAAAATACTTCATGGGTGGTGCACGTTTTTTTTTTTTTAGACAAACGCTGCCTAAAATTCTAAAGTGTCATATGCTGATTTGTTAATCAGCTGTGGTCTTGTGTATGACTCAATGCCTCGGAGTCTTTTAGGTGGACAAATGTTCTGTTGCTCCCGTTTCAGGGGCAGAGCTTGGTTTCTTATTCATTTTCATGATATGCAAAGGTGTTGCCTCTGATTGGCTAACAGCAACACAACTTATATCCTATCCTTAACAAAACTCAGAATACTGTAAAAATGCAACATTGATGTTTCATCTCCATAAATAACCCACACTTATTCCACCATGTTGCGCTAACGGTTAGCTTCTACTAGATGGGACACACTTTCTCCTTCCCATGGGACTGGCCTGGTAAATGGCCTGTGTTTGATATAGCGCCTTCTAGGGCCCCCCAGGGGGCTTTACAACATCAATGACCAATTCACACCCTGATGATGGTGAGGTGCATTGTAGCCTCAGCTGCCGGGAGGCAAACTGAGAGGCAGAGGCTACCGAGCAGGCGCCACCGGTCCCTCCGACCACCACCAGCAGGCAAGAAGGGTTAAGTGCCTTGCCCAAGGACACAGCAACTGCAACAGACGGGGCTCCGAACTGCAACCCTTCGATCACAGGTAAGTCCTTTGCCACCATTTTAATGACGGTCATGGAAGCTGAATGAAAATTTCAGGTTCAGAATCCAAATGCAACTCAGCATGACCAATGGTGTTTTAAAAGGAACAAGTATGACACTGTTTCTCAGTAGTGCTCTACGATCCGATACCAAGTAAATACAGGGCCGGTATTGCCGATACAAATACCGATACTTTTTACTACTATAGTCTAGTACCATCAAGTGTTGTGGGATTTATTGAGAGAATACATAATCAATAAGAAAATCTTGTCTGAAAACTCAAGTTTTATTGATTACTTAAGTATTTTGTACGTTTTCCTTTAATAAATCATGAATGATGATAAAAAATTCAGGAAACATTTTCAGGCCAATCAAATTTCTATTGAGAAACTGAAAATGGTTTATAGAAAATGTAATTTTCTCTTTAGGGGGTGGTAATCTGCATTTACAGTCAACAAACTCAAGATTTTTTTTCTATTTGAAATGTACAAAGCTGTGAAAAAAATATAAAATCATGAGAAAATACCCCAACTGCCTTTCTGTCTTTCTGCACTCCTGACTATCTTCCTCCTCCTTTTGTCTCTGCAGCTCAGAAGTCTGGTTGGGGTGTGTTTTTTTTTAATGTGCTTATATAGGTTTGTGGTGTTGCCACAGTACCTAATTTGTTTCCTGCAAACATCGCAGGTTGCAGTTGTTTGACTTACGGGTGTAAAACAAATCCCAAACGGCGCTCTTTTTCTGGTCTGCCAGCACACAGCCACAACAGTGATCTCTGATGTTCTGCGCTTGTCCTGTTCTGGTGTGCTGTTTTACTTTTTTTATGTAATAGCGGACTGCCCCATTGACTGACATTCATGGCGTTCCAATCACAGTGCTCTAATGGTTTGTAGGGCCTATCACAGCGCTCTTTTAGCAAAGTAGGCGGGATGTCCCTGCAAACAAACATGGCTGACGCTCCGAAACGGTCCAATCACAGGGTGTTTCTCAATGTCAAGGCGCCTGGCCTTGCGAGGCGATGTCTTACGAGGCCAGGCGCCTTGCTTACGAGGACACTGTCCTTCCTTGGTCAAAGAAAACGGTTAAATGGAACAGACTTGCATCACGTAACGTCACGTGACACAGGAGATAACGTTATATTTTATATGTATTAGTTTCAATTTACATATATAACAAGCCTTTTACTTTTAAAATTGTGTATATGTTTATTAAATTAAAAATGTAAGCTAGTTACTACCCGCTAGCCACCGAAGCTGCAACTACTAAACAAGTAACCAACCATAGAGAACTTATTTGGATCTTAAAAAAAAAAACATTTTAAATTAGCTGACTTACTTTTACACTTGAAAATTGTCCCCAAAGTAGCTGCCGGCTTCTTATCCGCCATCCTTTTCAAAATACCGCGGTGTATTCTGGGTCATTTTTGACCAAGGCTAGGCTAAAGGACACCTCCCGTGTATCCTCGCTCGGTTAGATAAATGGCTAACAAAGGGAGAACACACACCTCTGTAGAACATGAACATTGGAACACGTCTTGGCGGTTCCCGATGACGTACCTCCTAGGCAACCGGGGCGGGGCCAAGACGTCAAGGCAAGGTTCCTTGGCATTGAGAAACACCCACAGGTATCAGCCAGGTAAACTACAAATCAAGATGGCTGCCGCTCTGTAGTGGTCCAATCATAGCGCTCTATAGATTTCATGGGCCAATCGCAACACTAAGTAGACTGGATGTTGTTGAAAAAAAAGTGACTAGTTGGTGGTCAGCCACTCATTTAAAACGGCTTTGGCATCAAGTTTGGACTGTTGTGACTTTGGCTTTTGTTTGAGTCAAGCTCAGATAGAAGTACTAAAGTTCATATAGGAAAAGGACGTGTTTTGCGTCTTTGATGGAGTTTGGTGGACTGCTTCGTTGGCCGACATCTGTAGCGGCGATTACGTCATGGCTTGCCAAGCTAGAAGAAACTGAATCAATGTCATCAAGCAGGTATCGAATAAATACTCGATACCAATGTTAGATTGATTCTATCGATATTTTAGATCGATCCGCCCAGCCCAATTTCTCAGTTTCTCAGTCAACCATTTTTCATGCCAAATCCTCGACTACATATGCTGTTGTGGCTAAAAGTTTGTGTACTCTTTTGGCAGATGCTTGTATCCACAGCAACGTACTAGTTACTAAACGCACATGTTTTTACAAGTTTAACTGAAATACTTCATCAGAAGTAGATTATGGCACTAAAGATGGATGAGTCCTAGACTTGAGTTTGTTCAGTGCACTCCAAATAAATTCTGTTGTCTGACAAAAAAGAAAATCAGAAACTGATTCAGCTGAAAATTATCTTAAAGGGCCAGGTTCACTAAGAAACAGTTTTTTACTTGTCACTGAGTGTTTCATGCAGACTGAACATGAAAATAGTCTCCTACACCTATCTCCTGCATTAGCCTCAGATAGAAAATAGGTGGTGAAACTCTTGGATTAGAAAATCCTGACAGATCTACGTCACCCTGTCACATTCATGGGCTCACCCATCTTGATGCTCAACGAGGAAGGCTGTCGTTGGTTTAGCGCCCAGGAAACAGCAGAGAACGTC